GTTTTATCCTCCCAGAGAACAGCTTGATGTCACTGATGCCAAGGCAAACAGCTATTACAAAACTGGCTCTCTTGGTTTGCATATAGATGGCATCATGTATATTTAATGCAGTTATAGTTTGCATTATGGTATCTATGCCAATTTATCATATAAAACATTTGTTAAATAGGCACATATTACTCATATCTGCAACTTTGCTTACTGATGAATGATAATTTATGGTTATATTCTTTAAATTAAGGGGTCTGGAAACAAGGATCATATAGAGATCCATTAGCATAATTGGCAACACATCTTCATGGTAAGTAGAAGTTGCAGGTTTGAGTTCTGTTCTGGAAGAAGAGATTGTTCAATCTCTTCTTCCAAAATATTTTAAATTTATTAAAAATTCTAATTATTAAATTTAATACAAGTTGATGGTTTAATTGCCTGCTTTTATTTCAAATTNGTTCTGTTCTGGAACAATCTCTTCTTCCAAAATATTTTAAATTTATTAAAAATTCTAATTATTAAATTTAATACAAGTTGATGGTTTAATTGCCTGCTTTTATTTCAAATTACATAATATGTATAATTAATTAGCCACATTATAATTTGATTAAAGTCTTACTGTGCTGTTTTACCTTAAAGATTTATAATAATAAACAGAGGGTAGATTAATGTTATAAACCCAATCTAGGATGCATAAAAACATTGTTATGTATGTTTTTGGCTTTTCAGAGCAGGAAGGGAACTTATTGTTTTATATTCTCTAAAAATAACAGATTTCCAGAATTTGAAAGATCTGATATACTTAAGCTTGCTTTAATTAATTGACCACATGTGTTTCTTCTTCTTTAATAATTTTTTTAGAAATCTTTTTTTGTAAGATGGTGCAGAATGTAAAAAAATAAATATGCTTATTGATTTTATTGTACTTATTTTTAAGTGTATAAATCAGGGTTCACCAAAATTTTTTTCACAGTGCGCCTGACAACTGAGAGAATGACAAGTGCAGGCTGCATAAGCATTTTGGTGAATACAGTACACCGAATACACAAAAAATAAAGACAACCAACATACTTACTTACCAGTACACAAACATGATTGCTGCAGCAAGCTCTTAATCACTTTTCTTAGAAACTTCATTGCAGGTACTTACACAAAAAGCACTCTGATATCTGAAGTCACAAAAAGTTGCCAAATTTTTTATTTCACTGATTTTCTTAAAAATTATATTAATGTCAGATTCAAAAATCAAAATGGACCAATTTTGGCATTTTTACTTACTTTAATTTTTTCTACATAGTAAGTTTATCTACAATCTATGATATTTCCATATTAATAATTATATTTTAGCTCATTTGTGGCACAGTACAGTGGCAGGTTGGATGAATTGATCTTGTGGGCCATAGTTTGATGACCCCTGGTATAAACCATAAAACACTGCTGATTAGAGAATTTATCTAAAACACTAAAAAACTAAAGTACCCAAAAGCTATTGTTTTTTAGTGTTTTGCTGAGTTCTCTAGTTAAGTAGTATTTTATGATTTATAAATACAGTGGGTGATCGGTTAACGAACAAATTGGATAATGAACACTTTCGCAAAAGATTTTTATGATCAGACAACGAACGCATGTTCAACTTCACTTCACTCAACAAACACAAGAAGAAGTGATGTAAAATGACAAATACCAATTGGTCTTCCTTTGTCTTCAGGCAACAATTTGAAAATTTTCGGAGCATGGGAGACATTGACGTTCAACCCAGTATATGCTGATTGGATAGTATTCCCCGATCTTTGAAACTCTCCTTGTAATTTCAGTCTTTTACATTTTTGATAGAAACAATTCTTTTACGTTTTCTTCTGAAAAAGCGGATTTATGCCAATATCTGCTATTAAAAATCTTTTGAAGAAGTGGGAGGATATTAGAACAACAGTCTTAAAATGGCATCCAAAGCAGGTTGAGGTTAATAGGCTTAGGGATCTCTATAATTACAGTCGACCCCCCTATAACGTACGTTCCTATAACGACAATTCCTATAACGTAGCGAAAAAATTGTAGCAACTTTCGTATAACGTACCTCCTATAACGTCGTTTCGCGACAAGATTGATAGAGTCTGGACCAATAGTGGATGAGCAGCCGAACTACTTTCCTCCGACCCTGCGCCACGCTACGGAGCGGCTAAATTGAGTTTGCTATCGTCTGTTTAGTATTATATATAAATTATATATAAATTAGGTACTGTACATATAATTATATATTAATTATATATAAATTAGGTACTGTATATATAATTATATATTAACTTAATTTATTGTAACTTTATTATAATTATATATATGCTTTCTGCCGCCTGGCAACACGCTACGGAGATTTTAGGCTAGTAAGTTGAGTTTATTATCGTCTGTACAGTATGTAAATTAGGTACCGTAAGTCTAATACAGCACTAATTTTATACATTTCTTGTGAAAGAAACACTTCTTATTCAACGGCCATAAAAATTATTTATATTAATGATGTCTCCAAAGGTCAAGTTATTTTTCTGCCAAAAATTCGTTATCAGAAATTGCGGCCGTCGTTTCGTGTGCTGTTCCGCGATGAAAACCAGCTTTAAGCAACGGCGTAGTCGAACGGTGTAAGTAATCCTACAATTTTTTGTTTATAGCATAGTTTATACAGATTATTCCCAAAAATTTATACGTATTTTGGAAATGTTGAGTGGAATTAGTCTAGAATCGGTTAATTTTATAGAAGAAAACCTTTCGAACAGCCTTAGTCCGTAAAGTTCACACCTATCGGGCTGCGATTGGCTCATGTATTTAATCATTCCTACAACGTAATTTTCGATTAGCGTGGAACGTATCTAAGCGTTATAGGGGGGGTCTACTGTACAATGTGATTAATTACTTCTGAAAAATCATGAAGAAGACGGAAAAGCAATCGACATTGGACAGATTCTTTAACCACCACCAACAGAAAAAACATGACAAATAAAAATGCAAGACCGTGTATATATGTATTTTTATTATTACATATGAATAAACGTAGTAAGAAAGCATTATATTTTTTTTATTTTTTGGGAGTCTCCAGAACGAATTAATCAAATTCCCATAGAAACCTATGGTAAATCGATAATCGGTTAACAAACAGTTCAGATAGTGAACAAAGTCTTGGAACGGATTATGTTCATTAACTGATCACCCACTGTATACAGTACAGCGACAATTATCTGAATCAATTGGGGACTGGGGTTGTTTGGAAAAAATTGATATTTCGGATAATCGATTATGTATGAAAAAATATATTAATCTATCGCATGTTGAAAATTTTCTTCGTTGCATGTCGCTTTGCGTTGAATTTTCGTCAATGTTAAGCCTAATGAAGACTATTGTATCGTTAAAAATTATTTTTTTATTTTATACAAACAAAATAAATATATTGAAAAATATAAAAACAATAAAAAAAAATTGTACTTCAGAAGTTAATTTAGTATCAAGAACGTAAAATATTTGAGTAACCCAAGACATAGCCAAAGATTGCAGCACCACAGCACTGGTGAAAATTTAAATTTGCCGACTGGAATTCTTTCGGATAATTGACTTTCAGATAATCGACGCTCTACTGTAATAAAAATGATCATTTTATTGTGTGTGCTTGAAGTTAAAGCAGTCCTTCTTTTGATAAAAACACACTCATGGCAATGATTAGTGAAAGATTGAAAATGAAAATTACAGATAAAAAATGACAATATTCCAATAATAATAATTTTCATAAACAAGAATAAATTTTAAGTATTTACATATTTTTTGAAGAACATGATAATTTCAAACTGTATTTTAGTCCCAGTTCTGCCAGTCACTCAAATTTAGTCTTAAGTTTTAACTATATTATGCTCATTATTTGTAAGTTCTTGTGAATGTTTCAGTATTATTATTAAATTTTTGCTTGTTTATAAAGGTAATAATTTAAATAGCTTGTATATAACTAGATTGTTTTGACTGATTATTAGATTTTTGTATGTATATGATAAACCAAAAACTGTTTTGCATACTTTTTAACATAAGAACAATAAATGTAGTTTTAAATGGTATATCACTTCAAACATAAAGTATACAATACAGTCGATCCCCCTATAAGACGGTAGATACGTTTCGTTCTTTATGAATCAATTTTGTAGGAATCACAGCCAATCACAGCCCAACATGTGTGAAGTTTACGGACTACGGCTGTTTGAAAGGTTTTCTTCCATAAAATTAATCAATTCTAGACTAATCCGACTCAACATTTCCAAAATATGTATATTTTTTTTGGAAATAATCCATATAAACTACGCTATAAACAAAAAATTGTAGGATTACTTACCGAGTGTTCACCATTCGACATCGCTGTTGCTCAAGCTTGTTTTCGTCGCAGAACAGCGCAGCAAACTGCAGCTGCTATTTCTGATGTTATTTTTCTACGAAAACTTCGTTGAACTTTGGAGACATCATTAATATAAATAATTTTAATCGCCGTTGAATAAGAAATGTTTCTTTCACAAGAAATGTATAAAATTACAGTGCTGTATTAGACTTACGGTACCTAATTTACATACTGTACAGACGATAGCTCGCCTAAACTCTCCGTAGCGTGGCGCTAGACGGCGGAAAGTATATATATAATTATAATAAAGTTACAATAAATTAAGTTAATATATAATTATATATACAGTACCTAATTTATATATAATTATATGTACAGACGATACTAAACTCAATTTACCCGCCTAAACTGTCCGTAGCGTGGCGCTGGACGGCGGAAAGTAGTTCGGCTGCCCGATGACGTTTTACGTAATTATAGGAGTTTTTTTACCGTTGTTTACGGATACCGCCACAATTTTTTCGCCCTCTTATAGGAATCGTAATTATAGGAACCCGTCTTATAGGGGGATCTACTGTATATATAATTTAATGTTTTAATAGTTTTATATATATATATATGTAATAATAATCACTAATAATGTTCAATATTTTAGTTGTTCAGAGAAGTAAGGATAATGAAAATGCTTGATCACCCAAATATAGGTGAATTAGTTTTTTTTATTTAGTTATGATACTTAATTGAAAAAATATTTAGGTAAAACTTTACAAAGTCCATAATTTTATTTTATTTTTTTCAGTGAAACTTTATCAAGTTATTGAAACTGAAAAAACATTGTACCTTGTAATGGAATATGCAAGTGGAGGTTTGTAATTTTTTTTCTTTATTTAATAGTTATCATCATTTATTTAAATAATAATTATTTTCTACTGGATTATAACATTAATCATATAGATAGTATTGATGGAAGTTGCCATTGCACATGTTTATCTTGAACAGACTCAGAAATACTTCCAGTAAAATGGTAGCTTACTAGCATTACTAAGCATAGTTAGTTGCTATGGTGTTGCGGATTATCTCCAATTCTGTAAAAATAACTTACTGTATGTTTTTATAAGAAAGCTTTCTACTTGTGAAATGTATGTTCTATTTATGTTAAAAAAAACTGACTTACCCAGCCGTGCACAAACAGTGTCCAGCAAGAATTTTGCAATTTTTTTTACAGGCGAACCAACACTGGTATATCTCTCATAGTTTTTTGATTGACGGTTGGCCAGGCTCTATTTCTCCATAAAATGTATCTACTTCTCCAGATGAAAATATCTCTAATTTTTCCACTGACAAAATGATTGTAAGCATCTAAGCTATTATATGGTTTTAATGACTCTGCAATATAAATTTCAGTGAGTTAATCAAGTAGTTATATATATCACCATACATAATTTTTGCTAATGAATCATCTCTGGGTTTATGAAAAATCTGGAGTAGCAAAATATCATTCAAGGGATCGTGGAGACAAATAGTAAGATAAGAGTTTAATTTTTGAGAAGTGTCTTTTTTTTTTTTTCTTCAGTAGGGTGATCATTATAATAAGAGATACACAAGGTAGATCTTGAAAATTAGAAACTTTTAAAAATACCTGTTGGAATTAGTTTTTAAAAACAAAATTCTTTAATAATTATTATAAAGAACTTATCACATCAGTCCATTTGTTTCTAATTTTAGTGAGATTAGTAGTGGACTGGTATGATAAGTCTTTTTAAGACGGGTGTTTTAACCAAGAGTCCATGAGCTTGGAAGGGTAAAATTCAACTTTAACTTTCCTATATTTTAAATATATTGTATTGTTAATTACTGTGTTAAGAAAGAAGCACATATATTACTATATCATGTGGTTTTTTTTATTTTAATAAATATAGTTCTGTATAACTGGTTTATTTTATGCATTTAAAAACATTATTCCAAAAGGGGATCCATGACCTTTACTTTTGGAGAAGGGGTCCATGGAGCAAAAAAGTTAAGAACCCCTGTTTTAAGCTATAGTCATTCTACTGCTTTATTAATGCTTATTGATAAAGGAAAAAAGTTTTGTAGTTGTAAATTCTTTAAGTAGTAACAAAATGTATATACAGTGGTACCTCAGGATACGAAATTAATCCGTTCCGACACTGAGATCGTATCATGAAAATGTCGTAAGGTGAATCATTTTTCCCCATACGATTACATGTAAAACCAAATAATTCGTTCCAACACAAAAAACATACTCAAATTAAAGCTAAGTAATACATTAAAAAAAATAACTATAGTAAGGAAAACACTGAAAAATGCGTTTTGTAGTTGTAAATGTATAAATAATCGTAATAGAATACTAATTGATTAAAAAAAATGTAGTTTTATTTGCACTTTACCTTTGAGGATAGACGACGGTGGAGGTGTGAACTGGTGGCGAAAGAGAGGGAGAAGGGAAATGATACTAAAACTTAACTTCCATAACATAATGTAACAATAACTTAAAAAAGATTTTTAAAAAATTAGTGTTGTTTTATTTATTATTATTATTTTTTTAATTTTTATTCACTGATTTTTGCTTTCTTTCCTTCACTTCCACCAGCACTTTCACTGGATAGAGGTCGCTTGGTAAAATATCTATCCAAAGAGGTTTGGCTTTGCTTACTTTTTAAAATGTTTCTAAAATGACTTAGGCAAATGTAATTACTCCGAGCAGCAATATGGCCAGTGTAAACCTTTTTGAAATGTTTCTTTTCAACAAAATCATTCACTTTTTGATAATACCTCGAGATTTCTTTTATCGAGCGAGATCCTTCCACGACGAAGCAAACACGCGGACTGAGATCGACGAACAGAAGTGAAAAAAAAATGGCGCTGCAAACTAATGTAACGTCGTATGGTGAATTTTTGTTCGTATCGTGGAGCAAAAATATGTTCGAATTTCATGTCGTATCCTGAAAATTTCGTATGCTGGGGCGTTCGTATCCTGAGGTACCACTGTAATACAGAAAAAGATGCAAGAAATATTCATCAGAATATTTATAAGAACAGTAATTAAATACTAATAAGAAATGACAACTTAGGGGCTATGCAATCCCTGGCAGGCCGGGAGAACAAAACAGATTCAATGTTTTAAATACTTATTATATTCAGGGGTGCCTTTTGACAGTTCTGGCTGTTGGCATTTTTTTTTTTATGACCTACTTTATCTTTGTTCATTAGAGAATTGTACAGAATTAACCAAGTGACTGCATTTGAGAAGCATTGATGTATAATTAGTTTTTCTTATATGTGGCCACCAGGTCATTTCTGCACAATTCAGCATTTCAAAATATTTTTTATTTCAGACTGTTTTTCACTGAAATTCATCTCATATAATAAAATCTTAAATGCAGAGGAAGTAAACACTATTATTAGAAGAGACCCTTATTACATTTTCATATGGGTGCAGTGAGAAAATCATTGGCAATGATGATGACAAAGTTTTATGATGTATATTTAGTTACACATGTAATTTGGCTTGTACATTTATACCCCAGGTTACATACATAATGCATTTCATCAAATAGTAGTTATATTGTGAATTGCTATTTACCTAGATTTTTTTATTTAAAGAAAGTTTCACCTCATGAAAAGTTTTTGAGCAATGACCAATACGATTTTTCATTCTAGTTTCTTCAGAGGATGCAGCAGGATGCTCTTGTTAAATTGCGCGATAATCTACAGCAAAGAAAGAAGAGATTGATGTCTCTTTTAATACTTCTAGATATCAAAGGCATGTTTGAGTGGTGATTCTCAATTTTAAGACTTATAATAGGATCCAAAGTACCTATGAAATATTTTCTACTTGCTTAAGGATTTCTTAAAACACAGAACAACTGATTTTAAATTGGACTTTGTTAAATAAAGAAAAAACCCTGCTTCCTAAATAAAGGCTGTTCTCAAGGCTCTGTATTTGGACATTTACTCTTGATGAATGTATATATAAACATTCCAAAGTCCAATACTAAACCAAACAATAGCCATAATTAATTCGGCTATTTTTTGCTACTATTAATAATTAGAAATTTTGGTATTAGAGGTAGATGTTAGGTACCATCTTTTATTGAAATGAATAATTATAATAATTAATTGTTTATGTTGTTTTCGAAACCGTGTTTTCTGAATATATTGGACTTCGAACTCACATTTGAGTTATAAATAAACACTTGGCTTTATTTCCATCATTTTAGTAGATACGTGACAACAGCACGAGGGGCTTTATGCCCGAAACGCGCTGTTGTCACGTATCAACTAAAATGATGGAAATAAAGCCAAGTGTTTATTTATAACTCAAATGTGAGTTCGAAGTCCAATTAATTGTTTGTTAAATAATTTAGATCAATCTGGAAGAAAAGAATTAGCCCCAGAGCAGAATTTTGAACCCTCAACCTCCTCTTACTGTGTGGTAAGAGTGCTGCCAGTTATGTCACCCAGACCTATGAGCAATTCTTTGCTTCCAGACATATTCAAATCCTGATATAATCATTCACGGCACTGACAGATGATGACTCTTATGGCCTATACACATTGGGCTTAGGGATTTTTATATATATATATATGCACCAGATAAAGCAATAACCAGCTGAGTGTCATAGTGTGCAGAAGTATATAGGCCATTTAAAAAATAATTATTGATGATTTGCCAAATTTTCTTAAAACAGACATTTTTGTCTTTGCCCAGACACCTGAGGACACAATGTCAAAAGTTGACAAGTGGCAAAATTCAGAATGGATGAAGTGCCATATTGGTGGGGATAGCTAAGTCGGATTGTGGTAGGGTATATTTATATGACAATCATATCTGTAGTTTGTTTTATCATGAGATGTAATCTGAGGTATGCCTATAGTTCATCAACAAGTTGTTATCTTTATATGTGATTAAGATAAACAAGCAGTTTCCATTAATAACTACTACTATTTTTTTTTTTCATCTAATATAATAACTTCAAATAATCTACAGGAAATGAAATAATACAAGAATGAATTTTATTTATATCAATATCATGTAGTAACATTCCATAATTTTTTATTCAAATTTGATTATTTTTTATATCTATTGAAAAATGAAATAGATAGTTCATTTTCATATTTATTAAAGTAGTATATTATTTTAATCAAAACTAGTCTTTTTAGGTATTGTAAATAGAATGAATTATATTATATCTTATAAAATGTTTTAAAGATAAATTTTATTTTTATTGCAGTAAAAAAAATTTGTAGAATAGAATTGCCATTGAAAAAATTAATTTGATAACTTTTTTAATACAATTTGATTCAATTTTTTTTTTTAAATTTTGTATATGGTACATATAAAATGAAGTACATTATTAGAAACTGCATTGTATCATGTTTTTAAAATTTTTGTACCATCTGGGTTATTTGATTACTAGTGTGAAGAACTATCATCATAAAATGTTTTTATTGCTTAAAAGCATGTTTATAGCATTCTACTTGGTTTATAACTAGTGTTAGAGTTGAGAAATTTATAGCTTTGAAATACTTCATTGATTACTGGAAAATAAGCAAAAGTGGATAACATGCACTTCAGAACCATATGCTAAAAATAATGTCAAGATATTAAGAGACCAAAAAAATATGGAATTGTGAACATTTTTACAGATTTCTTTATGCAAATACTGTATATGTTAAATTTTAATTTGGTAAAAATACATCTAGATTTAATTCTGAAGTATATTTTAAAATATTCATTGTTTGGATTCAATTTTATTGAACATGATATTTTTCTTTGTTGTTTCTAGGTGAAGTGTTTGATTATTTGGTTGCACATGGACGTATGAAAGAAAAGGAAGCCAGAGCAAAGTTTAGACAGGTACTTATGAAATGTAGACTGTTTCAATGTATTAAACATTTTATTATGCACAATGAACTTTCTTAATTTTTTTTCAAATTCTATAATTAATAAATACAGTAAAAACTGCTTAGGCGACCACCTGCATTCGACGGGCACCTGTCAAAACGGGCGAAAATTTCCGGCACCGAATAGTTTATCCATAGTCTTTGTATAAGTTACCTGTATTAAACGACCACCTGTGTAACGCGACTGCGGGCATCGATTTTTGGTCTGAAACAACATACAACAACTGTAATAAGCGACCACTTTCGCGAATATATCTGGTCTAAACTATTGTTCAACAACGTTTTCCCCCTCCTAATATAATGAATTAGTCTAAACTTTTTTTTTTTTTAACTCTTTCCACCCTGTGGGCACTAAGAGGGCCTCTTTTTGCAAGCCCATTATGGGTTCGGCTAGGACCACAATGGGGCTGCCGGGTGGTGAGGGACGGGGCCCGACATATCCAAACGGACCACAGCCCGAAAAATTCCTGGGGACTTTTCGATCTGTTCGGATCGAACCCAGGTCCTCCAGAGTGGTAGGCTGCCACCTTGACCGCTCGGCCATCTGGCCAATCTAAACTCTCGTTTGAACCCATCTTGGGCACTTCTCCACCCTTGAAATTAGGTGCAGGTGTTAATGAATTAGTCTAGCAACAAAGGAAATTCATAGTTTGTTCGAAATTGTCTGATAAAGGAAAGAAATGCAAAGTGCTGTCGTTAGAAGATCGTATTAAAGTTATCACAACAGCAATTAGTGGCAAAGTTTAACTGTGGAAAATGAAATTTATTTTACTGTAGACCTACAGCAATTTCCTTGGGGATATAAAATATTGTACACGATACAATTAATCGGCTGATCTCATCGTTTGATAAAATTTACTTTTATTTATTTATCTATTTATTTATTTTGAAGCTCATGTACAGTACATGTGTGATAAATAGTTTTTGTATCAACCTACCTTATTTCCCTGATATTTTTAGAAAAATAATATTCAAGTCATTTTCACATGCAAAATATTCAAAAAATAATAAATGCATTAATGCAAAACTTGTATATCGATGACGTAATACACATAACTGAGGAGCGAACGAAAACAACAGAGTTGAATTAATTAAGTCGGAAAAAAGAAAGTGTGCATTATAATCGAGAAAATGCAACTATTGTATTAATCTTTAAAATATTGGTATTAAATCTGTCTTATAAAATCACGATGACTCCCTTAAATTGAATTATTCTATAAGAATAAAATACAATACTAATATAGCCCTATCATTGAAAAAATTCACTTATATTTGCTCACCTCAAGTTTTTCTTAGTAGAAATAGCTAAAAAGTGCACAAAATGTGTATGGAAATACAGTTTTCCAGCACCACCTGTATTGGACGACCACCTGTCTAAAAGATTACTTTTTGAAGGAACTGTGGGTGGTCGCCATAGACAGGTTTTACTATACTTTTGGACAGGTTTTTATTTCTACACAGATAATGGAGTAAATTTGCTTCATAATTTGTATAGTATCGACTTTATCAATGTTGTTTAAGCTAGAAATATATATTTACAGTAGAAATTTTCACTTTTTTAATATCACAATTTACATGGTTTTGATATAGTTCATTGAAGTATTAGATATTTAAGATTAAACTAAGAGTTTTGCTACGAATAATGTAAAAATTTGATTTTTAATGTTGAATTTTTACATATTGCTAATACATACATAAGAAATTTTAGATTGTAGGAGAATGGTGTAGAATTGACCTAGTGGCTGCATTTGAGAACCCTGATATATAATCAGAGCTTCTCAAATGTACTATCACCAAACTAATTGAATAATGAATTTCCAGATGTGGGGAGAGTTTTCTTTTTTTAATAATAAACTAATTCTAATATTTTGAACAGAAATTTCTTTAGCAATATGAAAATATCAATTTATCACATTATAATTTATTTTGGTAAAAGAATATTTCATCAAATATTTATGCAATACTTTATGACTTCATTTTGTAAATTGCATTTTCAAATGTTCAAAGTGATGTTAATGTTAATAATTTAATGATTTACAAAACTTTCTTTATGACACTTATTTTATATACAGATAGTATCAGCTGTACAGTACTGTCATCAAAAGAGAATTATACATAGAGACTTAAAAGTAAGTAACTTCAGTAAGGTTTTACTAACTGAAAAATATATTTAATTTAAGAAGTTTTATGAACTAATTATAATGTTATTTTTTAGGCTGAGAATTTATTACTTGATGGGGAAATGAATATCAAAATTGCAGATTTTGGTTTTAGTAATGAATTTGTACCAGGTCAAAAACTTGATACATTTTGTGGAAGTCCACCATACGCTGCTCCTGAATTATTTCAAGGTATTATAAAATTTTTATTAAATAAAGTTATAGAATAAAAGTTTAATAGAAAAATTTTTAAATTAAAAGTAAAGTTATTTAGATTTACTGTAGTAAATGTCCCAAATGCATCAGTTTTTAAATAGTGACTTGGACCATACCTGACAGCATTAAATAAGAGAACTTTAATTATGATCACATAATATATGTATGCTAATTAACCATTTTAATTTCTTGAAAAATTATAATCATAAACAGAAGTATTAATTTATTAAATTACATAACATGTGTTTTGTGCACTGGTTTAAAAAGAAAATAAACTTTTTAATTATACCATATAAATCAATAGAGAATTTTATATATATATATAAATATAAATGCCTGATTCTTTAAAATTGATTACATAATTATGGATAAAATATTCTTTCAGTTTACATTAAGTTATGCTGTGTTTTCTAACATATGGTGTAATTATACAACTAACATTGAGTTTTTTCAAAAATTTTATATTCATTATTTAGGTAAAAAGTATGATGGTCCTGAAGTAGATGTTTGGAGTTTAGGTGTAATATTATATACTTTAGTCAGTGGTTCTCTTCCATTTGATGGTGCAAATTTAAAAGTGAGTAATTTTAATGTTTGTTCCAACTTTTATCCTTATTATTAATTATGAATTGAGAAAAATAATTATAAAATATCATAAAATAATTTTTTAAATACAGATAGTATTTATGTCAAAACTGGAATTTAAGTTTTAGACAGATAGAGAGAAAATTATTATCAATAAACATTTATTGGGCTGCAATTTGAAAAAAATTGTAAACCTTAAAATTTCCACTATTGTCTGTCTGTCTGTCTGTCTGTTCTTCTTTAATCTAAAGAACAGTATTTGACAGATGAAAGTTTAGACCAGATATGGAAAGCTTAGGGGCAGGAGGTTCTGATTAACTATATATGAACTTCCACTTTGGACCAGAAGCATAGATGAAGGGAAAGATGGTAAACTGCTGTAAGGTTTGTGGTGTACCAACGGCTTGTGACAGCACCACTAACGAGAAGGAAAAAAGTGTGCAAGACACTGCTGCACCTGCATGAAGAATGATCACAATTGTAGTCATTTTCCTCTTAAAATGCATTTTTGAATGAATACACATAATTATCATATTAATGTTTTGCCTGCCCATGAATTCTGCAAATAATATAGATGAAGTGCAGAAAATAAAGAAACATGTAGCACAACATTGGCTATAATATCAGAATTTTCATATTTTTAAATATTTTACATATATGTGTGTTTTCTTTTAAAAAAATAAGCAATTTTTTTAATTTTTTAAGGAGATTTTTAAAAAAAAATTGATATAATAAAATAATCATTTCTTTACATGAAGCTGTATATATTGACTGGCATCCCATTAACAGAAAACTACCTTATTTTATTATTTGTGTTATCAACATGCCACACTTTAATTTTGCTTATTGTTTCACATCTACTTTTTATTTCACTTTTATATATCCACTAGCTGTTACTCGTGACTTCACCCATGAAGGTTTTGCAAGCAAACCCCATTTATATTCAGTATTTCAATAACCATAGTAATTGTTATATAAGACCTACCTCTGAGAATGATGAGAATTGCTGAGAATTGAACGAACTATTTTCAATTTCATCAATTTTCTGGAACATTTACAATTGTTCTATAATCAAATTAATATGCAATAACAAATTTGAATTTAAAATGGTTTGAACGTTTGGTTAAAAAATTGAAATATATAAAAATATTTATAACAATGTCTGAAATGTTATCAATTTAATACACCTAAGTACTTAATGAAGACTAAATGTTGAAAACAAAAAATTGCATATAAAATAATACAGTAAAAATCATTCTTCCAGTTAAGCCTTAATGCTCTTCCTCTCCCCCCGTGGAAAAATTTTGAAAAATCCTTTCTTAGTGTGCGTTTCCATGATGTACCCTAACTGTGTACCAAATTTCACCTCTTTAGGTTCAGCGGTTTGCTCTGGGTGATGATGAATCAGTGAATGAATGAATGAGTCAGTCAGGACAAGCAATTTTATATATTTAGATTAGGATTTACAAAATGTAGAATACATCTTTTTGTGTAGTATTATATTATAGTTGATGTCTAGAATGAAAATTATTCACTATAATCAACAATAAAATAGAATTTTTCTGTATGAATTACAATCTGAATTATTACTAAATAACATATGGCAAAATAAATTGCTTTAAAAGGAACTAAAATCCATGAACAAAAGCCTCCACTATATTTGTGTAATTTGTGAAAATTAATTTTAAACTAAACAATATTACATTTGAAAACTCTTTTAAATTATATCTTACCTATGAGAAGTAAGAACTACTGATCTTTGATCTTTAATGGCTTGTTGAACGTTGGTCCAAACTAAACGTCGCGTCACAGGATCCATACCGGTTGTGGGTTCGTCCTAAGCAAACAAAAAATTTTGTATAATTTAGTTAAATCTAGACATACTCATTTAAACATTGCAAACGTCATTTAGAAAATTTTAGAGTTCAATTTCTAAATGTTTTTCTTTCTTTTAGATGCTAAACTTCTGGTAACAGTATACTCGAATACATGCAGCCATATGTA